TATCTTATCTTATCTTATCTTATCTTATCTTATCTTATCTTATCTTATCTTATCTTATCTTATCTTATCTTATCTTATCTTATCTTATCTTATACACTATGGCCTCTTGAGTCACTTTCTTCCATCTAATCAATGCTGAACACAAAGATAGAAATATTCTCTTTGGTTCTTTCTTCATTACTTTTTTATTATATATAATCTGTTTTATTTATATTACATGAAGGTCAGATGTGTGTGATTGTATTCCGTATACTTTCTAAATTGAGAGTGCTTAAAATAATCAGCTTGCTCTTGCTCTACCTCACAGACTCCAGCCCTGCGCTCACTTGGCAACATTGTGACTGGGACAGATGAGCAGACCCAGTGTGTGCTGAATGCAGGTTCTCTGGCATTGTTTCCCAGCCTTCTGCGCCACCCAAAGCCAAACATCCAGAAAGAAGCTGCGTGGACAGTGTCCAACATCACCGCCGGCAAAGACAACCAGATTCAGGAAGTTATAAATGCAGGCCTGATCCCCATCCTGGTGGAGATCCTCCAGCAGGTCAGAGTGCTACCAGAAATTAGAGCAGACTTGTTACATGTGTCCTTATTATTAAATACATTTATACTAAACTTGTCAGTGTTTAAAACAAAGGAGGAAATAAATAAAATAGAGCTTTATTTATAGATCTGCTATAAACACCGACTTCTCTGTAGCTAATTAGAACCTGATCAGTATAGTCATTGAATCTTCCCCCAACTTTTCTGTAACCTTCAGCAATTTATTTATTTGATCATTTTTGTTTATAATTTTTCTGATATAAAAACTGAATTGATGGATTTCCTGTCTAGGGAGACTACAAGACGCAGAGAGAGGCAGTGTGGGCTGTTACCAATTATACCAGCGGTGGAACAGTGGACCAGGTGGCCTACCTGGTTCATTGCAATGTGCTAGAGCCTCTGCTCAATCTGCTGATAACCAAGGACAGCAAGATTGTTCTAGTCATCCTGGATGCAATATACAATATTTTACAGGTATAATAAAACTTGGTAGTTCTAAACTGAAACCAATCAAAATGTTGGAGTTAATGGTGTGTGGAATAGATTTCAACTTGGCTGAAAACGCAGACATATTCTGAGTCTCTCTTTAGACTCTAGCCAATCAACTCAGTGTTTTATGAAAACAACCAGTTAGACATTAAAGGTAATGTTTAAAGAGAAAATTATGCAGTTTTTTTTGGTTAAAATATAACAGCCCTTTTCCTCTATTACCAGCTCGGCTCCACTCAGTTTTTTAGGGCTTTCCATTTGGTTGTATTACCTGGTACCAGGTACTTTTTTTAGTTCCAAGTGATCTGACGCGATCTGAAATGTGACATCACCGTACTGCGTGCCCCCCGTTGGCTGATCAGTGCTGTCACTCGATGAGTCATGAGAGTGACTTCTTTACAAAAATCAAAACCACCCTTTTCGAAACCCAAAAACGAGGGAAATGGCTACACAAAAACAACACAGTGATCCTCAAGTCTGACAAAACCCATACACCGAGCAGCAGTTATACACACATTGTAGTGTTGTGTTTGTGCAAACAAATGACATGATGGGACTATAGGCTGCATTGCTATAATGACTCCAGGCACATTAGGTGGTACTCAGTTGTAATGGAAAACGACTGAAACTGAGTCGAGCCAAGTAGGTGTGTAGACAAAAAGTCAGATTCATAGTTTCATTGGTGTGTTAAATTAACATTAAAAACTAAGTCAAAATATAATAATAGAAATGATCTTCATAGCATTGAAAGTTTTTTCTATTTTAATCTGAGCCTCTAATATGGCTCATTGCTATATCTCATTCAAAACAAGAAATGAGGGAACCTGAAAAAATCTTTTATCCTTATCTTGGAGTTGTAATTGTCATTTAGTTTTTAGGTTTGCAACATGAACTGTTAGACTTAATTTCAAGTATTATTTTTTTTTAAAGGGAAAACTTTAATGCCAGAACTCTAGCAATATTACAAAGTCAACGTTTCAAGAAGTGAAGTGAAATGGACCTAATGTATGGAATCAGGTTCTGTGAGGAATGTGAATCACATGAATTTAGTTGATTTATACACTCCCCTGACAGGAGACATTTGTTTTTGTAGGTTAACAGTGTAGTAGTTTTGGGTAATTGGGATACTTGAGTTTCTGAGATTAGAAAACATTAAAATGATGTACCGAATTTGCTCATGTTATTGTCTCAGTGGTACATTGTTGGTGGTCACTAATAAAATCTGATAACTGTTAGGTTAATCATTTCTGTGTGGAAACCTTTGATCTAACGTGCGTTTCCCTTTCTGCACAGATGGCAAAAAAAACCGTAGAACTTCAGAAACTGTGCCTAATGATTGAGGAGCTGGGTGGTTTGGACAAGATTGAAGCACTGCAGTCCCACGACAATGAAGCAGTCTACAAGTCCTCGCTTAATATTATAGACACATTCTTCTCTGACGAGGTAGGTGTTCCTCCTAACAAGGTTCCCGTCAGATACTCATATAGCAGGTGAAAGTGGAGCAGTCAGATCGGTTTGAAGAGTGGTTGATGGCAACAGTGTTCAGCACTGACAATGAAAGCATTCAGAAGAAGCTGTATGCAGCTTGGAATTAATGATGCTGACAGACCACAGTGGGTTCGTTTAGAACGGGGGCATCTCTAAAAACTTGCTTAATTTTAAATAAATCATCAGTCTAAATTGTTTTTAAAGACATAAAACAGGCTTTTAGAAATAATTTGTAAAATTCCAAAGAGATGTTCGCCTTTGCCACTCAGCACCCTCCTTAAAATCCCTTCATGCGCCTTCTGTGAACAGTTTATTTTTTGTATTATCTAGATTTACTTTGAATTAAATTCTTGCCTGAACCAAAAAAAAAATGCGTAGAGTCATCAGTCAAATCTAATCAAAAACACTTAGAGGTTCACTGATCTTGGCTCTAGTGCAGCCTGTCCGAACGCAGTCTGCCTTTTAATATTAACCACTTTACAGAGACCCTTTCATAGCTAAAAGAATACACTCTTCTTGGTCGAGTCTACCGGAGTAGACATTTACGTTCACATCCAGGAGCAGATGGAATATAGGGACATGTTTTGGAGAGAGGCCAGGCCACATTGCCATAACTTGATTACGATTGCACCATCTAATTGTGATATGGAAAAAGAGAGAGGAAACTAAAACCAGCTTCTTCAGGGAAGAAGCAGCTGCTTTGTCATCAACAGCAACATGGGCAGAGAGTGCTCTGCTCTGTGTTGTCCAGTCATGCACAGGGTTAATTTCTGAATGGTGTTGTGTCTGAATCACAAATGTCAACAATTTAACTGACTGATGAAACCAACAATCTTATTTGTCTCATGTCTGAAAATCTTCAGTGTGTGTACGTGAGACATCCCAGAAACATTACCATAACTTGGTTAGTCGTCTAATGCTTCTCTCAAACTTGCCTTTTAGAATGACGTTGAAGAGTCGGTTATTCCTGAGGCTGGAGGAGACTGCTATGCCTTCCACATCCCCGAAGACCAAAGCACTTTTAAATTTTAACATGTCCACTTATCTTTTTGTAACATAAACAAATAGTAATTGTTGCATTGTGGTTCTTGTTGTTGGGGGGAGGGAATTTTTATAGTCTTTTGAACTTTGTACTTAACAGCATAGAAAAATAAATATACATGTTGTTGTTTTGTTTTTGTTTTTTTAAAAAACATTTGTAAATAAACATTTATTAATTCATATGGAGTTTTATTGATTGATGTTTCATCTGTTTCCCTGTGTGTGTATAACAAACAATGAGCTTATGCTTTTTTTATAAAACAGAAAATTAATTAGAAAATTAATAATGATTCATCATTAATGATAATGGTTATTTTATATTAACTTATTTTTTATTAAATAAGCTTGCGCAAACTAGTGGATTAATTTCAGATGCACAGTTTTGTTGCGCTAAACAGGCAGTATGTCTTCACCACCACTAGGTGACACTGTATTTCTACTTTTGTTAGGTTTAAAAACAAGGTGTGTCAGTGTAGTAACTATAGTCTGGATGGAATTTCAGTTTTGCAGTATATTGTATTTTATATTGGGGTGATGACTTGGAAGGTTCTATGCATCTATACAGCAGGTAACTTTGGGGTGGGGTGGCACCACTTGTTTTGAGCTAACTGGTTTCATTATTTGAGAGTTTAGAGCATATTTTTCGCCTTAGGTTTACACTATATCTTTGTTACTTCAGACGACCCTTAAGCAAAGTTTTTGGAATTATAGTATTATAGTGGAATTATATATATTTTTATATTAGTTTTGTGTTTAAGTGTATCAAAATTAGAAGGCGTCTAATTATTTCTTGATTCAGTAAATCTTTTGGTTTTATATGCTGGCGTATTAGTTTTATGCATTTTTAAAAAGCATTTTTATATGAGCTTTGCTATAAAATTATACCCCTCCTTCAATATTATTCATCATAGTTTTGTTTGTTTTTTATTTCCAAATATATAAATATGCTTCCTTTTACTACAACAGTTAACCATGATAGTTTTCTAATATCAAAACATTTCTTTAAAACTCTCACTTGTCTCACTATCATAAGAAGCTTGCTGTCATCGGTGAATAAGGTGAACAATTAAGAAACAGAGCTGAGTTTATAACCAACATGACCAGTTCAGGGCCCAGCACTGAACCCAGTGAAGTGATCCTGTTAGATTCGATTTTTTTCTTTTTTTAATAGCAAAATCTGGTCTATAATATTCATAACAAGGAAGTAGTTGGTACTGGAAAACTATATGTATATGTTTTGATTGTGAGTTTATTTTGAACGCTCGCACCGGATGTCCTCTCGTGTTTTCCTCCCCTGTCCCTGCCTGCCTGCAGTAGAACTGTCTTCACCATCATCACGAACAACTCGAGTCCAGGCAGCCCTGGCAGAGCAGACGCCTGTCCGGATGGAGGACGAGCCTCTCTGTTGACTTGTATCAGTACTCGTGGCACACGGCATGATCTGCATTTGGAAATGTAGTTATTTGCAATTGTTTTGCGGAAAAGGAGTTCGCGCGGAGAGTGTTATTCCAGGGATGTGATTATGTTACCTGTTTGTTGCGTGCACAGTCAGCGTGATTTGCTATGGTGATACTACAAGCTAACCCCAAGCTAGCAGAGGGATTTGTTTGGGAGATGTCTTTTTGAAAAAGAAGAAGGAAAAAAAACCTAGACGGTGACAATTTTGTGAATATTCGTCAAGCTGGAACACGAAGGGGAATGTCTAACCAAGGAGTTAGGAGAAATGGCCCAGTAAAGCTGCGGTTGACTGGTAAGAAAATTTAAACCCCCCTCCTGCGCCGCTCGGAAACGTTAGCGAGCTAGCCTCCTAGCCCAGCATGCTAACTAGCGTCTCCTGATTGTACAGCATAACTCTGTCCTGTGTTGTAATCTATAAAAGCGCTAAACCATATCTTACCTTATTATTATTATTATTATTATTATTATTATTATTATTATTATTATTATTAATAATATTGTTCTGACTTGACTGAATTCCTTTATTTTTAATTGAAATCCGGGGTAGCATACTGAGGAATATTGGAAGCTAGTGAATGAGCTTTTATCGTTAGCACACATTAGCGTTGACAACAGTGTTTATTGGGTGGTTATTATTCCCCCCCGAAGGTTAGCTATGTTTAAATACTTAAGCTTGATATCGACACGTTTCCTCAAAGCCCTTCAGCATTGTGATAAGTGGTTATTTTAAATACTTTTATTAGCAGTAGAAGCCTTACATTACAGCCTTACCTTTTTAAAAATCATATATTATCTTAATTTTCCAAAGATAGCTGCTGTGTTTCTTCACGGCAAGTGCAAAATAAGCCAACAGTATATTACAAATTAACGTCCCTAATGGCAATGATGAATTTCGAGGAAAAGCGTGAAGCAGCAGAAGAGGTGAAGGTGGTGTAATACACCGCTTTATTTTTAGTTTACACTGGTATTTATTTTTGTTTACCCTGAAGAGCGAGTGGTTTAACAGGGAGATGACCTCTGTAGGATATATTTCGTCATGGGTATACCGTATATACAGGAACTCATCGTCTTTCATCGCAGTTATCTGGTGAAAGCTATGTCAGTTCGTTCAGTTTGCTTAGCTTGGCAGAACAAAAGATAAAGTAGTTTCTCCCTTGGAGCTTATTTCACAGTGGGCTACGTGGGCTGTAGTGCTCTATGCCATTTCTGATGAATTTATAATGAAAGGTGAACATAATTAAGTTACTTGATACATTTGAAGAAATGTGGTTGGCATATTTTTTTTTTGTTGTTGTTGTTAAAGCCAAAGTTATCAACAAAAGTATAGTCTTGAGTCTTGTGTTACTGCAAACGGGCAGAATTAAAGCAAGCTGTATGAATTAATTAGAAGAAGATGAGAATGAGTTACATTTTCCTTTGTTCTGCTCTTCTAATGATGTAAGAATATCTCTATTTATTGAAAAATCTTAAAAATCACCAGGTGTTTTGATGTGCTGATGATGACTGAGTGAAACACTTGTTCAATAATTTCGGTGTTTATAAGTTAGCTGCCTTTGTTTCCAAAGCTTGGAAAAGCTGTCAGGTAGCATTATTTCTTCAGTATGTCATAGCTGGCTCTGGTTTCTTATTGGTGTATTGTAAATCTCTGAGAGCTGGGGCCTATTACTTTATGCGTGACACAATTCTTAGGTTGATCAAAATCAGTCAAATGATTTGTTGATTTTTATCTGGCATGACTGCTGAAGGCAAGAAGGGAACTCAAACTATTTGACCGTGATGAGATGTTTTTACATTTATTTAGTGTCACTGTTCAGCACTGTAGCATGTCTATGCATTTCACTCATTAAGTGCAGTTTGCTACGGGGAACAACAAGCTCATTCATACAGAACAGGGTATAGTTGTACCGAAAAGACAAATCGGTACTCAAAGAATTACCCAGCTGTTCTTCCTGCTTGCCTCTTCTCTGTGGTGGTTAGTGAGAGGAACTTTTTTTTTTCCTCCTCAGACTTGCCTCCCAAGGTATTTTGGACTTGCGAGTTTTTGTTGTAACACTTAGAATGTATGAAGCAGAGGGAGTTGCATTATCTCAGTATTGGAGGAACAAAAAGGATTCTGAGGGGATTGAGGGATAAATAAGGTACATATTTACCTATTGGTGGGGAAGGCTTGAATAAATGTTCACTGGACTTGAGCTTGTTAATTTCAGAATTTACACATGCTCTTAAATTAAAGTATTGCAAGAGAATATACATTCTAAGTTTAGCCCTTACAAACTTAACACCACAAGTAGGTAATCACATTTTTTTTTACCATGTTATCCAAATGTCTGTCTTTTAAGCCTTCTAAAAAGACTAATAGTTTATGACCAAGATTGAATTTGTCAAGAATTTTCATGCACTAAGACTCAAAGCTTTCTTTTCATGTAAAGATTCTCTCCCTCTTCAAAATCTGTTTACTCAAGTGATGAAGATAAAATTAACGAGCTGCAGAGGAGTAAGAAGTTAAAATCTAAAAACATATTTCTTCCCCAAGATATTAATGCTTCTCTGCAAACTTTCCGTCATTTAGTTAAAGAGGAGGTGCAAGTGCTATCCTAATTTATTCCACAGGCTCTTAAAAAATCTTGCAAATGATGAAACAGTAGTTATCCAGTATGCTAGTGAAGGTGGTGCGGTAGGCAGAACAAAGAATCATACTGCAGTTCAAGTAATGAGTCAGTTGCATAATACAGACTTCTACAGTTCATAAAGTTATGATCTTACATTGAAAGTTTAGAAGTAAATAAAGAACACTCTAGCTGTAAATGGCACTTTAATATCACAAGGTCAATTTGGATATTTGTTAGAAGAACATCCTAGATTTCCCATTCTCTTATACATTGCCCAAGATTTATATAAGTTGTGTGGGGGCCTGTTCCATGATCTCCTGTTGTCAGTAGGCTCTCCTTTTTTGTGTAAATTAATATCTGTGAGAGAGATCAAAGATACTAATCTTATGTCCAACGGAAGTCATGAGTTTATATGCAAATATTCCCCATAAACAGGAATTGGAAGGCCCTACATTATAATTTGAATGCAAGGGAAGAGGGAACTTTAGCAACAGCATTGCTGATAAAGTTAGTAGAAATAGTTCTCACTAAGAATCTTTTCAGATTTGAGTTTTTGTTTTTTTCCCCCTATAGAAGCAAAGGGTCTCAGTGGGTAGCCCTGTCAATCCTAGTTATGTGAATTTATTTATAGGGAAACTTGAACTTGATCATGTTGATCATGATCATACCTCTCCTTTATTAACTTTTGGTTCAGATATATTTATAACTTATATTTATATTTATTGGCACTGTTGAGGATCTAAATAGATTTAACTCAAGGTTACCTAGTTTTACATTTATTACAGAGGCCAATTGTGAGGTTTCATTTTAAATGTGAGAATGAATAAATCAGAACTAATACAAACTATTATTTATTCAAAGTGGGCTGATAGGATTTTTTTTTTTTTCATTATTCAAGATATCATCCATTCTCTTTGAAGAAGAGATTACCGTATAGTCAGCTGTTGTGGACAGAAAGGATGTGCAGTTTTGAGGAGGAGTTTGAGAAACAAGCTAATGCTTTGTATTCTTGTTTCTGAGAAAGAAAGAAAAAAAACCTCTTCAAAAATTTTTAATTGTTTCTCTCTCTAGGGTTAGAAAAATAGATAACTTTAACTTTAACCTTTTCACTCTTATAAATGTGGGGAGAAAATATTGGCATATTTTGTATGATCACCCTGCTGGTTGGAAAGTGTTAATCATCTACCCACAAAGTGTTCTACTAAATTGAGAGATAATCTTGTAACGACAGACTTATCTGTTGAACCTACACATTTTTTTTTAAATTCTCTTCCCTCTGGAAATTTTCCTTGTTGAACTGTAATGCCATTATTGAAGGAGATGATTTATCACACTGACATATAGGTAAAAAAAAAAAATTTCAAGTGAGTGGTAGAATCGCTTGTAGGACCAAACCTGTAGTAAAAGTATGGATTTTGTTATGTGGGGAAGACGAAGAGCAAATTTACAGTTACAATTTCTGAGCACAAGATTAATATCAGAAATAATGATTGAGTATTCAAAACATTTTCAATAAGCTGGACACAGCATCGGTGGTTCATGGGTATTGAAGCAGTTGTGCCATTAAATAGTGGTAATAGATAATAGGATATATCATCTGCAAGCAGTGGTTTGGTGAATGAGCTTCCTGCTTGTTGTCTCCCCCCCCCCCCACATATGTGGATGGTTTTACATGGACTTGCGTGAATTCCAGGAATGTGAAACCTTGGAGAGACTTTGTCCTGATAACAAACACATTCTGTGATCATTACAAGGAAGTATGTGCTGGGGGGAGGGGGGGTTGAGGTTCACATATAGAATGACCAGAATTTCTGTTCTTACAGTGATGACCAGTGACGTAAAAGGCTTGAGCATGCAGCTCTCACCGTACACAAGTGTTTAGTTGAGACCACCCTTGGTTTAAGTGATCGAGACTGCAGGAATTTAGAATTAACGTTGCAAACTAGTCCACCATTATTCTGTCTGTTCTATAGTCTCTCTATTTTTCAATGTTTTTTTTTTTTTTGCTGTTATTAGGTTATTAAGTTAAGTATTTATTTTATTTTTTTACAACAGACAAGGAATAACATAACTTAAACATAAAGCTACCAGGTCAGTGCTTACCATACCAAAATAATAGTGTAAAAATTTCAAAGAGGAAATTCTTTTACATACATCCTCAGAGGGAACAAAAAAAAGAGCGACAAAAAAAACAACAACAGCCACAACAAATAAGGGAAAGGAAGTCGGTCACCAGTGTTTCTCGGAATAGCAGTTCATGGCATCTGCAGTCCCAGAATTTCTTGAAGTTTTCTGTATTGTTATTTAGCTTGGCCAGCATGTTTTCAAATGATACTGTTTCCAGCATGAATTCCAACCAGTTTTTAATATCCAGAGCAGAAGTGGTTTTCTATAATCTGAGGATTACTCTGACAGCCTTGACCAATCCCACCTGCGTCACTGTACTTTGGTGCTTTGAAATATTAGGTATTATTGTCTGATCCTGCAATAGTCTTGGTGACATGGGTATCACCGTGCCCAGCCACTTTCCTATGTGCTGTAATACTATTTTCCAAAATGGGAAAATGTGTTAACAGTCCCAGGTCATATGTATAAAGGTTCCTGGTTCTGCTTGACATTTCCAACATAAATTATTGGAAAGTAGACCCATTCCATGAAGCCTAGATGGAGTAAAATAAAATCT